CTCTCTCTCGATTCTTCACGATTCAGCTCCGGATCCGGATCTGAGCTGATGATCTGGAGCTGAAGCCGAGAATAGAGAGAGCTCTGCTCCGCTAATGCATGTTCAGATCTGAATACACCATTAGACTTATGATATCAGTGAGCTGATGAGCTGCGGTTCCTAAAAATGACCCGCGGGTCATCAGCTGACTTTAATGAATCGGGTCTAAAGAACAGCTTGGGACCCCATCTCTAGATCTGAGCTGATGATCTGGAGCTGAAAGCGAGAATAGTGAGAGCAAATCTGCTGAAGAATTAACATTAGAAATAAAATCTGTATGTAACTAGACTGGATTGCATAGCTTGAGAAAAGGCGTAACATCGTGTAATACGATGTCGATCATATCATCGCATGTGACAATTGTGTCAAAATTTCTATAATTTAAAGGTGACCTAACGAGCTGTTCAAAAGAATCGACTCCCTTTAATCAGCTGGACGGGTCTGATCCGCTCAGCCAGATGAGCTAGTTTGCCCACCTCTAGTAGTACCAACACCTGTGGCGCGCATAGTCAATTCCCTTGCGTTTGACGATTACACACTACCGCCATCTGTTCTGTGGTTTTAACATAATGGCATGATGCCAAATCGGGCCAGAACAAAGGATTTTATTTGAGGCTTTTGATGAAGGGTAGCAATCGCTTCTGCAGACACTCTTTCTGATAAATCTCCTTGTTGATTGAGGCTGTAGTGACGAAATACTTACTCTTTCGACCACACATGCTAATTAATTATATGATTTGAGTAGTAGCTATACTGAAGATCCGAGAGATGTCGCCCCTTCAGTGGTAGGAAAATCATCTTTGCTGTATGGAGAATATCAGAAAATCCACGATTTGTGACTATAAACATGCTTTCACAGAAGGAAACAAATAAACGAGTGTTTACCTTACCACCATAGTAATGTACTCGTGCAATTTTTGTGCATCTAAAACTGCTCATAAAGACGATAATGAATAAAAACTGAAAATTTTCATGCATTTCCAAATGGTTTCCTACCATTCCCATACATTCGAAAGTGACTGTCCCTCTGGATGTGGATGATGATAAAAACAACAAAACATGATTAATTACTTGCCAAATAAGGTATTTTTTTTGAGAAATGTCGATGCCTTCTTCGTCCTGAAATACTCAGCTATTGGCGTCTTGCAGTGAAACTTTTCCAAGCTTTCGCCACCTACATTTCGAAGTGAGAACTACTGGAAGGAGGATAGTTTCCAAATTTTCCAAGTAAAACAGACGCTTTTTGGGGCAAATCGGTCCATAAAGAAAAACTAATAATTTCCCGCGGAAACTTTTGCTTGAATCGTGTAAGAAAACGTGTTTGCAAACTAACTGTCATTACTTCGGTATGGATCGGAGATGTTTTCATGGAAAATTATGCATAACAAGTTTGCACCCACAGGAAGAGGTTACCTCCTGCGCAGCTGCATTTTACGGAAAATGGTAAATATGTACGATTTCCACTAAGATGAAAGTGCAAATTAAGTGAATTTACCTAGGAAAGATTGTATCATGCTGGTGATAATGGAGAAATTGTTGTATAAGACGCCAATATTCAACAAAAGGTTCATTTTGGCCTTTTTAGGTAAACATATTGATACTCACAATTTTCGACGGAAAACGCAACGGAACTTGATTTACTCAACACACACCATGCTACAAAATGGTGCTAGATGGTTTTCAAAGTGATAAGAAGATGACAAATCATCTTTATTTTGAGTAAGTGAGCAATTTACTTCTGTTTACATTATATTTACGATGCAGCGTTGATGGAGCCGTGAAATGAAATGAATATATCTTATGAAAGTTCATCTGGAAAAGTCAAAGATACACGTCAGTCTGATCGTGAAAACGTTTTCTTCTTCACTTCGAATGTTATATTGGGAGGATTTTACGCAGGCTTGATGAAAATTAGGATTTAATGCTAATTTTTACGAATTTTATATGCAGTCTGTCAACATTATCATCATCATGCAGTGGTGACATCTGCGTTGAGCTTTTACGGCAATCTTCCAATAGCATTTTTGGCCATAGGCAAAATAAAAAACCAGCCCTGGAAGCTGCTTGAAATCCTCCAGGACATAAGTTTCATCGTCCATAACAAACAAACGTGCAGCCCGTGATTTTGCTGTCAAATTCTGTTTGTCGTTACGATTTGGAACTGTTTTTACTTTATACGATTTTAGCCCCAAACGCTGTTTTGATTTTTGGACAACACCAGGGGACATTTCTATTTTACGAGCCACCGTTCAAACAGAGAGATTCGGGTTTTCCTTCAATGTCCTCTTCACCTTTCGGTTCATGACAGGATCAGCACGTCCAATGTTTTATCACTTCTCGGTTTCCTCTCTCGACCGTCAAACGTTCCGAAAATGTTAGGATTTGCATGACGTCCGTACAAAATTCGCTCATGCACGTGTTTTTCATTTATTGCCATGGAATGTAAACACCAATCATAGTCTTTTTCATCAATGACTCCCAGCTGTACCTCAGCGAAAACTTTTACTCCTACGTGCAATATTTCAAAATTTACAGTGATTTGAAAGTGTTCGAATTAATGTGGAAACAGACCTTATTTGATTGCATGAATATGTACTCCAATTCAAATTGAATAGTAAATATTTAAAATGCACTTGGGGAATTGCGGTTGAAAGTAAAGTTGCTGATTCTGCATTAAAATTGCTATTCAAACTACCACTCGATAAGATGACTATCAGAAGTAATTGCGACTGTTCGGTGGATTTATGCCATGTCACTTTAGTTCTTCTCCATAGCTCGAACAGTCCATACAGCTACAATGCAAAACTTACTACTCGTACACCTTTTGTCACTGACCACCGGCTACGCTTTATCTCAACTGGAACCGCACAGTAACCTTCCGGAAGCGATCGCCCATATCGTCAACCATTTCTCCAACCAGGAGCCATCGACCTTTGACTGTTGGTTCCTGAACGCAGAGCAAGACCACATCGGTAGTATCGTGTCCTCCCCCAAAATTACGCACATTCCAAAAGTTCTAGCCAGCATTGATACTTTAAATACGGACAGTATCAGGAAACCTTCAATGCTGGTTCTCAACGCTAATACGTTTCAGGAACGTCCATTTAGTTTTGCCCTGACACTCTTCTTATCTCCCGTTGTATTGCATGACACGAAGATTTTGGCACTGGTTGATTTCAACGACATTAATCAGCTCAAGACATTGTACGACTCGCTGTTTGGGTCCATAGTTTGGAATATTGTTTTCACTCATGTCCAGTTCAAACTATTTCTGTACTACAACCCCTTTAAAAAGGATTTCGTTCACTTGAAAGACATGAATCCTAAATTCATGTTCACTGATCTTACATCCAATCTCTACGGCACCCAAGTGCGGTTTACCTTGGTTGGTAGCTCTCCGTGGTGTTCACTGTTGGAACCGTCGGTCAAGAATGGATACACCAAAGGATCTATGTGCAAGTGGATAACCGAGACACTTCACCACGTGAACGGATCATGGCTTGGCGTTCAAGTCAGTTGCAATCCGGCATATGCGAATTGCACGAAACAGCGAGCTCAAGACGAAAATGGTAGGGCCTATGACTTACTGTTGAACACCTATTCCGTACGAAAAATGCTTCCAACTACGCTGGAACTCACAGAACCGGTTCGATTGGTCATACTGGCACCCCGAGGACGGATCTTGAAAATGTTCGAATTGTTCACATATCCTTTCAATGCGAACTTGTGGACGTTGATTGTGGCCCTGATGATCGGATGTGCCCTAGCTACATCGATGTTTCCGAACCTGTTTGAGAACGATCCCTTCCTACTCTCAATCTGTGGCTTCGAGCGTTACAGCTTACATCGGGCCCGAACGCACGAGAAGGTGATTCTCTTTTCGCTGGTCGTATTGTTTTTCTTCATAACCACCGCGTACGAAAACAAGTTCATTTCACTCATGACGAGCTATCCACGGGTTAGAGATCCCGAAACACTAGAGGATCTTCGTCAAGCCGGTATCAGAGTTGCCACCAGAAGGGATGATCAGCAATCCTTGGAATACCGGTTTCTTGATCCGGAATTGCGATCGCTCATCGAGGTACACGATCGCATTGAAAGAACCTTGTCGCAAACGATGGCCATTATGTCGGAGGCCCAGATGGCACGCGTGATCCTTTACAGTAGCAATTGCTTTGATCAGCAAACAGGAGATGTCAACTTCATTCCGTTGAAGCGCTATTCGATCCATATGCGGGTGAACTCTGTCGTGATTGCACCAGGAAGTCGCCTCAGAACCATGTTTCGTGACACCGAACGAAGGTTCTTCGATGCTGGACTGATGAGGTACTGGTTTGAGGAGTTGTTGGTTCAAACCATGGCGTACCGAAGAGCGAATGATCTGTCCAAGGTCCATGTGATAGTTGACAAGTATATCGACGTGTCGGAGCTGAAGCCGGTGTGGATGCTGTTGATGGGTGGATTGACCTTAGGAGTAGGTGTGCTGATCGTGGAAATCATCTGGCGAAGATTGACTCGGAGATTCACTCGGATAGATAAATTATTCTACCGTAGGGGAATCGCATAGACATTGATAAATCTCATCAACGGTAACGACAATGAGGCATACAGTGCTTATTAATGTTTTTGTTAAAAAAAAGTGCAGTTATTGAACAAGCTATTAAGTTACTAACAATAGATGTAATTTATCGGATCCTACGCCTCTATCGGATGTCCAGCAACAGCAAACCATATGGCACCTACAATTATGCATCAATTATAGCCAATAAATTACCACTTGATTGGGGGTTGGCAACATCAGATAATCCAAACCAGCTCACAAACCTTAGCTTATGAAATGTGAACCTTATGCGCTATCAAAGGATCATCCAGTCCCTATCCGCCGATCTCCTCGGTTTTCCTATAAATCATGAACCTGGTCCATACCCATTTCAAACCATCTTTGGAAGTCACCCGTTCAAGATGTCCCGAAAAGCTTTACTCGTCACTGTGGTAGTCCTGCTGCAAGGATGGCCCAACAACGCCCAGGAAGACTACTGTGACTCGTCGTTGTGCGATCTGGGAGTACAGAACATCGGATGCGGTGCCACGAACGAACTGTCGCCGGAGTGCAACGAGGGTAAGAAGATTGATCTGACCGATGAGTTTAAGAAGGTTATCCTGGACGAGCACAACAACTACCGCAATCAGGTGGCCAAGGGAGAGCTTAAGTGGTTGCCGTCTGCTTCCAACATGGTGGCAATGGTAAGTAGCTATATACAGATGGTGAAAATGTAGTTTTCTAATAAAGTTGTCTAGGACTGGGACGACGACCTGGCTTACCTGGCGGAGTTGAACGCTGATCGCTGTGAATTTGAGCACGACAAGTGCCACAATACCAAGAAGTACCCGAATTCCGGACAGAACATCGCCTCGTGGGGAACTTCCGGGGACTCGTACGATGTGAAGGATACGCTCAAGACCATGGTCCTGGAGTGGTGGGACGAACGTCACTTTGCCAACCCGAAGCTGATCAAGAAGCTGTGGGGCAAGTACAAGGCTCTGCACTTCACCATGCTGGTTCGGGCCAACGCTAGCCGAGTTGGATGTGGAATGGTTCAGTACAAGAAGGATGAATATTTGTGGGTTCAGCTGATCTGCAATTATTCGTACACCAATATGATCGGAACCAGTGTGTACAAGGAAGGAAAGCCGTGTTCGGATTGCAAATCCGGATGCGATAGCACCTACGATGGACTGTGCAGCAAGGACGAAGAAGTTGATGTGTCATAATGACCGTATCATGAAGGAAGAAATTTGTTATTATAGCACTGCGATTTTCTGACAAATAAATGGTGGTGGGTAACAAAGAGGGAGTTTTGCTTTGATAAAAAAGATTGATTGTTTGATCGATGACAGATGCTGGGAGTGGCCTATTTGTTCCAATTTCCTTTGAATTTTCCATTGATGTGAGGAAATCCTCGTATAAAGTACCGTTACTCAAATCTTGATAAGTAATTTAGAGCATTTCAGGAATGGAAAATTTCTGGGAAACAAGTTCTAGGTTTAAACTGACTGCACTGCAGTTATTGGTCTATTTTGCTCGAATTTCGAGTTATGGATCAATTTAATGCTAGTAGATATATTGCAACAGAGGCTAAGTTGATAAAGGAAGGTCATTCGTCAAAAACCGCAAAATATGGCACAGCCTTAAGTGATGAAACAAAATTGGCAGTCATAATTTTTTTTTTGAAGATGATGATATAAGCCGGGCAATGCCTGGTCAAAAAGATTATGTGTCTGTGCAGAAAGAAGGAAAACGACAAGCCATTCAAAAAAGATTACTAATGATGACTTTGAGAGAAGCTTATACCGTGCGGGACCGAAATCCGTACAGCACCGAAATCCGTACACCCTGTTGAATTTGTTTATTTATTTGCATCATAACAATGTAAATATTATACATGAATACATATTCATTTTCATTCATGCATTAGCTTGATGTTAACGTCAACAATTAGGCAGTAGGTCATAAAATTAAAATAAGAAAAATAAAAACCTTATCACGTGTCGGGAATTTCTGTCAATCGGTTGCGTTCTTAACAATTTTCTAAGAAAATCTCTCGGATTTACTTCCAGTTGTTAGGCGTATTTATGTGATTTTTGCAAGTAGTTTCCTGAAGGTCGATCGGAAAGATAAGTGTTCATCGTTTTATATCTCAATTCTGAGGAATGGATCATTCATATGGTATTTATTTATCAAAATTAGTACTGTACGGATTTTGATCCATATATAACAGCTGATTCTAAATCCGTACACTTGTGCATTAACAATGACGATTCTACTTTATCCAATGTTTTTCAGCAGATCATGGAAGCAAAATACACGCCGGAGGATTTGGAGAAGACTGTGGCAATGATGCGTGCGGGGAAATCTTTCCGAGAAGCATCCAGGGATTTAGTCGTTCCATGCACCACCATAAGAGATGCCATATTGAATCGCTACTCTCTTATTTTATTCGTATTGTAAATGTTATATTATTAATGGGCCTTATTACGGGTGTCTCTACACGGTGATAAGGAAGTGATACTCATAATAAGAGCCGTGATTGCCGTACAAATCAAAGGGGAATCACTTCACCGTGACGACAAGTGACAAGTTTTCACTGTGAAGTGATATCCGTAATAAGTGCCAATATCTTCTAATGAATAGCGTCAAGAACCAGCCGAAAAGGAAAACAACGCTGCTCCCCTACAGGATAACACCAACACGCATAAACAAATTACAGATAGTAGACAGAAATGGGCAAGAGAGCAAATTTGAGTTTAGTTCACTCATAATCGCCAAAAGTGCAGGAACTCAGCGATGAGTAAAATTTGTCTCATGGTTTCCTGTGGAAAACCTAAAAAATCTGCCGGAAAATGAGCAAATTGACGAAAATTTTATTCAGTCTCTCAGTAGTACCAATAGACTAAGTGAATTCTATCTTCACTTTTATCAAATTCGGGAATTTTTCCCTGGAAAATCCTGAAAAACCTGGGAAAACATGAGGCAAATTTACTCATCGCTGAGTTCCTGCACTTTTGGCGATTATGATAGAACTAAACTCAAATTTGGGTCGTTCTCATTCGCCGTGAGCATTCCCAGCAGTAGCCACCAACGAAGAATAGCCGGAAATATACATGAAAATAGGGCGGGAGACAAAGAGGACGCAAAGAAACAAAGGATTGAGGAACAACAAAAGAAAAAGGTTGAGCGAGAGAGGAAGAGGAGGAAGAAGAGGAAGAAAAGGAAGAAAAGGAAAGAAAGTTGGAAGCAAGAAAGCATTATAACTTGAAAAGGCAATGGCAACAATGAAGAAGAAGCAGAAGAAAGCTGCGGAAAATAAGCAATGAAAGATCTGCATTTTTATGATTATTACTCTTTTGACGTTTCAAATTAAATTAAGTTATAGTCGTTAACTTACCAATTTTATTTTTCATGCACAAAACGAAAAACGAATCCTTGATGTCAGTTCATTGTATTTTTTTGTTGGTTTCTAAGATGGTTGTAATTTTTTTTTTTCACTTATCCGTCATTATAGGGCTACCATCTTAGGAACCGCTTATTCTATCGCTTGATGCCAGTGGGTAGGTGGAGCGTTTCCATTATCGATGTGTTAAAGATGTTTCGGCAGTCTTCTCTTCAGTTTGCTATTATCGATTCGACAACATTGTCCAAGCTACACCGCCCAGTTTAGTCCCAGTTAATAATGTTTTGTAGCGTTGCGCTGGAGTACCCCCAAGTTCCAAAGTATGGCGCATCTTGCACGCTATCACATGTCAAATTTCAAAGACCTCGATGTTGTGATCGGAGGTAAACTCTAGTAAGAATATTTAACCCAAAGCACTGGTATAGAATAAAATTTGGAGGAAATGAATCCTTAAACATGATATTAGCTAGCAGAAAAATCCAGAACAGTCACCTACACCTTCTAAATCAGTTACCTTTCCTTCGAATCGACTGGAGCATCAATTAACCTCACTCTGATATCACTAGTCAAAAAAATAAAAGTAAAAAATTAAATTGAACCTTTGACGAATGATTCTTATGTTATGTTGTAATCCAAAAATGTAGTAAAAAAAATCTCAGTAGGATGGTTTTCGAGATACGGCTAAAAAATGAAAATTCACTCTAAAAAAGTTTGTTTACTATAATACAAATATCTCCGGTTGTAATGAGATTATATCAACTATTTTAACGCTAAATTAGAGGTGAGAAATTTTTCGTTCGATCAATTGAACATCAGTTGTCAGTGAGATTAGTGGTATTGTTGTTAGTTAATAGTTTGTTTGTTTTTTTTTTTTAAGTTTTCCTAAGAAATATTGAATTTCTGTTTTTAAGGAAAATGTTTAAAGTGATTCTACCATTACCCTCACTGAAAAATATTGTTATAACTATCGAAATAAAATTTTAACAAGGTTTATTTGGCGTTAAAATAATTAATATTAAATCATTACAGCTGGCGATATTTGTGTTTTAGTAAACACGTTTTTTTTTAAAGGGAGATTTCATTTTTTAGCTATATCTCCAAAACTATCCTACAGAGATTTTTTTTGGACAACATTTTTGAATTCAGCGCACAATTTTACATGGGAAATGACCATTAGCGTACAAAGTTCAAATATGCTGTAAACTAGTGTATTTAAATGAGTTTAGCTGTTTTGGACTCCTAGCCAAGCAACTTCTTTAAAAAAATACTTTATTCAATAGCAACATGTTTTTTTTTTCATTGATTTGGATTGATTCACATTCATGTACGGATTTTGATTCATGACTGTACGGATTTTGATTCATCCTCAATACAGTGTACGGATTTCGATTCAAAATTGTACGGATTTTGATTCAATCGTAGAACGCTGTACGGATTTTGATTCAAGATATGTGCAATTTAAATACTTTTTTCTAATAATTAAAGGTAATTTTAAGACCTGGTGTTTGCAAATAATGAGAAAATAAAGATAAATGTATTGGAAAAAGATGCGATACAATGCATAATGTGATAGCATTATTTAGTATTGACCGTTAATGATTCTCTCGTGCTTAGGTGCACGGATTTCAGTCCCGCACGGTAAACGATTCAATGAAATTCACTGCAATGTAAAAATTGGATTCTCTTCATTTGCAAAACTCCGCCCTAATCAATGTAAACTTTTAACCAGCTCTGGAACCCACAATGTTTGCGTGTGCACAACGCATGAAAACATCAATCTAATTTTACACAATTTGAAAAAACTTAACCATTTAAATGATGTATTGGATGTTTGGATTTCCCATAGTAATTTCCATATAAACTTCAAATGGTTTGTGCCAAGTCAGTTTCTTTTCAAATGAGTTCAAATTTTGGGAGACTAATCAGGACCCGATTTGGAACCTTTTGAGCACTGTGGAGCGAAAATGTCAAAATTTGCATCAGTCTAGTGAACATCCAATAAAAAATGCAAGAGAGCTTTATAATTGGGCAAATAATCGAAAAGAAGAAGAATTAACAAAATTATCATTTAGTTTTGCCACAACAGAGGAATACGAATGTATGGCTTCACACCTCAACGAGCAATATAATAATGCAAAAATAATTCAAGGAACTCAAAAGTTTCATTCTTTCATTCCTGTATCAGAAAATAAAATTAAAGCCAAATGATGTGGTATATTCATTTATTTGATAAGGCTCAACCGAATTAACTTAACAGAGCCGAGGATTCATGGTCACTATACAATACATCTTAAAGCTATAGTCAAAAGGTACAACACAATAAACACTTTATCTTCCGCTATCCAAAAAGCCTCGTCCATCAGAACTGGAGTCGCTTCCAGTGGTTTCATTATATGGCGGCAAATTGTTGTACGCCAACGAGGGTCAGAGCACGTCCATTGCAGCAATGGACGCAAAACGTGGTCAGCACTCACACACTCATCACGAAACGGTTGCTTTCCAAAGTCGACGACGCATCGACCGAAAGAACTGCTGATGAAGAACAATGAGGAGGACCACACAATGGTTGCTGCCGAGTAAACAGACGATCGCGTAGCACACATCGAGAGTGGTCTGCTTTTGTCGACAGCCGAGTGAACACTTAAAGCCAAATGATAATGATGCCAAAATATTCGATGTATTTAAGAAGTGATGTAAATAAAAATAGAAAGTAAGTGTATTACAATGAAAATAAATTATGTATCATTTGTCCATAAGGTTTTCGAATAAAAGAAAAGTAAAAAAGAGCAGATAAATGTATTTTGTGGATTTAAGTTGAGATTTTAAAATAAAAAAGTAGTCGGGATTCGCTATTACAAATTGTAATAGCGAACCCCGACT